ATTTTGTTTGAAAATATGAACATTTTGTTTGAAAATATGAACGTTTTGTTTGAAAATATGAACATTTTGTTTGAAATATGAACGTTATGTTAAAAAATATGAAAATTTTGTTTGAAAATATGAAAATTTTGTTTGAAAATATGAACATTTTGTTAGAAAATATGAACATTTTGTTTGAAAATATGAATACTTTGTTTGAAATATGAACGTTATGTTTGAAAATATGAAAATTTTGTTTAAAAATATGAACATTTTGTCTGAAAATATGAACATTTTGTTTGAAAATATGAACATTTTGTCTGAAAATATGAACATTTTGTTTGAAAATATGAACGTTATGTTTGAAAATATGAAAATTTTGTTTAAAAATATGAAAATTTTATCTGAAAATATGAACATTTTGTTTGAAAATATGAACATTTTATTTGAAAATATGAACATTTTGTTTGAAAATATGAACGTTTTGTTTGAAAATATGAACATTTTATTTGAAAATATGAACGTTTTGTTTGGAAATATAAACGTTTTGTTTGAAAATATGAACATTTTGTTTGAAAATATGAACATTTTGTTTGAAATTATGAATATTTTGTTTGAAAATATGAACATTTTGTTTGAAAATATGAATACACTGTTTGAAAATATGAACGTTTTGTTGAAAATTCCCAATCTAAATTATAAGCATATCGATCAAGGTGCTCCTGATTTATGATCGGACATACAAACAAACAAACAGAGATTACTTCTTTATGTGCAAAGATTTTGTCAAGGTTGAAGACTTTAAAAAAAAAAGTTTATTCTGAGTATGTGAAAAATGAGCTTGTAGACTGATGGTGCACATAGTGTTGGAGGTATAATAAAAATTATAAATTTGTATCATAGTGTTGGAGGTATAATAAAAATTATAAATTTGTATCATAGTGTTGGAGGTATAATAAAAATTATAAATTTGTATCATAGTGTTGGAGGTATAATAAAAATTATAAATTTATATCATAATGTTGGAGGTAAAGTAAAAATTATAAATTTATATCATAGTGTTGGAGGTATAATAAAAATTATAAATTTATATCATAAAATAAATTTGATAAATTGTTTATTTCAACTTACTCCACTAAACTCCACTAAATGCTAGTGAAGTAACTTCATGTATTTTAACAGTTAAAGAATCTACTCTTTTGAGCTTTTTTTCTTTCTTTAGGAATTCTTTCGGGCGTTCAGCTGTACTTTTTGCCACACACTATGGACACAAATACGGAATCAGTCAATAATTGGAGTCAGTCTATCATTGGAATCAGTCTATTATTGGAATCAGTCGATCATTGGGATCAGTCAATCATTGGATTCAGTCTATCATTGGAATCAGTCTATCAAAAATAGATTCTAATACAATAGATGGCAACGTAGACTTTGTACTCTCTCAATACAGCTGTATTCTGACGTCACAAGTGTCAATTCAGTTTTTATGTCCGTCAAAGTTATCAATAATAGTTAAAATTTTAGAATAAAGTGCTTTTCTTACAGTAAAATATGTGCAATTTTATGTGTTATTTAGTTTCTGTTTTTACACTTTTTTATTTAAACTTGGAAAACATGTCAACTAATTGTCTCAATTTAGTTTTCCTTGTTATATTTGACACTTGTGACGTTGTGTATGATTGTTAATTTCTCTGTTGCCACCAATTGTACTTGATAATCTATTTGGTCTTTCATTGGAATCATTCAATCATTGGAACAAGTACATGGGATTAAGTAAATAATGTAATACTTTTTATAATATTTTTTTAAATCAATTAAAATCAAGCTACAGTTCCTTTTAATTGTGATTTATATTGACTGATATTGTGTAGAAAATTCCAAAGATCTATCCCTTCTGGAGACAAGACTGCCATTTCAGATGTTCTCATCCTCATCACTTACAATCTGTAATTTGTAAACTTTAAACTTTATTTCAAATCAGTTTTAAGATAACGTAATTTCAAGTAAAGCCTCGAAGTTTATGTCAGAGTAACAAAGGAATCCTAGAAAACCTTTTTCAAAGAAGAAAAATTATTGATATATCCTTTAATTTCTGTCGCAATTAAGGTTCTCTATAAAAGTGACTTCAGTATTTACGCAGAAATGAATTTGAAAGGAAGGTTACGGGTTCCTATGCGAATCAGACATGCTACTAGCTATGAATTAAGAATTACTTGAAATTATACCTTGAGTTCTTTAAAAGGAAATATTGTAATTTGAAGTGAATCTCCGGACTTCACTTAAAGGGAAAGCTTTCTCACTCTATTTGTTATAAATTAAAACCTTATTTTGATTAATAATGTAAAAGATAACGTCGTTTTTTTAGCTTCAAAAATGTTTAATTCTGTTATTTGATCAAACAGAGTGGGTACAAAATGCCCAGTAACAAAAAACGGCCAAAAACAAAACGCCGAATGAAACAAAATTCCCGATATTACAAAACGCCCAATGTCACAAAAAGCCCAATATGTTAAAAAATGCCCAATACAGCAAAAGGCCCCAAATCCCAAGGATTTAATGCAAGGAAAGTTATTTCAGAGGTGTACGCATCTTCTGTACTGCAGTGTACTGTCACTGGGCGGTAATATAATCACAAGACTGATGTCGAAGCCTGACATGGGATCCATCTTTCACATAAATAATCAATGAAATATTCTGGTCAAAGAAAACTAATATGTGAATTATCAAAATTATCAAAATTCAATGCTCGGATACTAAACGAACACTGTGGCATCTATTCTTGTTTACAAATTCCGCTCAGAGAGAACTGGTTTCAATATGTACACAGAGTATAAACAATTGCAATTAACTTTCCCTGCATTACATTCTTGCCAAATCCCAAAAAATAGCCACTAACCGGAAAAACGTCAAAAATTCTAAAATATTGGTTCAAAACGTAAATCAATTTTTTAATTAAAATCTTAGGAGTTACCATTTTTAACTTAAAAACGTCCAAACCTTTCAATTTAATACATACTGAGTAGGTTTTCACTGCATCTTTTTACAATTATTCTTCTTTTTAAAATAATAATAATACTAATTTGACAAATATAGTAAGTTGTCCTGCAATGCTCTACTAACTGCATCAGTGAGATTCCAGAAAAATGAGACGTTTGAAAAAAAAATTAGTAGAAATATTACGTTTCTTGTCAAAAAAAAAGAACATTACTTTCTCATTGATGTATCGTAACATTGGACGTCTTGTAACTTGTAAGTGGCGTTTAGTTGCAATTGAAGTTGTGTAACATTGGGCGTTTTGTACCCCTTTAAAGCCCAATTTTTGAAATAAAAAATTTAGAATATCTTCATTGTCGTCAACAGAAATTTTAATAATATATATATTTTGTTCAATATTATTTGAATTGTTTGAACCTTAAAACAAGAAAAACATACTTACCTGTGTCAACCCAGTAGATTTTCCATTTCTGAACAATATTTTTTTCAACAATAATACTTTGGATGACTTTGAACAGTCACTTTAAGCCAATATTTTGCTAAACTACTTCAGCAAGGGACATTAATTTATTCAGGGTTTTATAGGTTCTTTCTAATCATTTTCATGTATTTTAGAGAATTTATTCCCTGGATTGGAACAGCATTCTGGGTTTTCAGGGATATCTTTGGAGAGTTCAATTACTTCTTCACTTATGTTGTTGTGGCCACTGCACGTGTAAGTATGAACTGGCATTGCAGTCTCTTTTAATAAAAAAATACAATCGATTATATTATACTAGCCTTAGAGGGGGCTTCGCGCCCATCTTCTAAATTAATTGTGAACACGTTCTCTTAGTGAACATCGTAAAACAAAACAAAAATAATTCGCGGATTTTCACAAAAAATTTCGTGGATTTTCAAAATTTTAAAAAATTTAGTGGAGATCGAATTTTGATGTAGACAAATATTTGAAATTTTGATCATTCATAAACCTTCCCTGGGGTCCCTAGATGTCCCACAAAAAATTCGGGCCCGATCGGTTCAGCCGTTTTGACGTTTATTGGATACAAACAGACAGACAGACAAACAGACAGACAAGCCAAATTTACATATAGATTATATTATTATATTTAGTTTGTGTTTAACTCCAGCATGGGTTTATGGAATATGGTGACAACAATACGTTACTTCTACCTCTTCAATATACTCATCATACAGGTTTAGGAACCAATACCAATATGTACAATACTTCTACCTCTTCAATATACTCATCATACAGGTTTATGAACCAATATCAATATATACAATACTTCTACCTCTTCAATACCAATCCTAATTTGGATTTAAAGAGGCTGTAAGCATATTATATATCTTATAACTGTTTCAAGGTACACCCTGTATATTATATATCTTAAAACTGTTTCAAGGTACAGCCTGCATATTATATATCTTATAACTGTTTCAAGGTACACCCTGTATATTATATATCTTAAAATTGTTTCAAGGTACACCCTGTATATTATATATCTTATAACTGTTTCAAGGTACACCCTGTATATTTTTTATCTTATAAATGTTTCAAGGTACACCCTGTATATTATTTTAGGATATTTCTGATGCCAACATGCTGAAGCTTGGTAAACTGGTAAATATTAATAAATATTAATAATTACAGAGCTAGACTTTTGAATACTCAAAATCCCAATTGCTTGCTCTTGATATCCACAATGAGCACCATTGCATCTATAAAAATACTATATACCTTGTCCATATCTTCATTTTAGTTATTCCTCCATTGATCAAATAATATAATTGTATAAAGATTAGATTAATCTGCAGATCAACAAATCTTTACTTTTTATCCACAATACACAAGTTCCAATATTAGGACACCTATATATACTTTTTGAAAATCTTGTCATTTTGTCTCATTATTATGAAATATAAACATCTTGGGATTTCAATAGTTTTTAAATGTCAATTTTGGCTTTTTACTATGATTTTCTATATATAATGGTGACACTTTTTACTTTATACCTTTCATAAGGTATTATAACGAATAGAGATATTATAACAAATTAAGCGCAAGAAATAAGGCCCCATCAGTTCAGCTTTTTGTTGATTGAAAAATAAGAAAAGGCATACATAAACTTAAATTTAATGGCATATTTAGAGAGAAGATCTAAACATTTTTTTTTTACCTTTCCAATAAAAGACCAAACGTGTTTAAAATGCCAAGAGTAAAATTTATGATTTAACAAAAATATGGAATATCATTTAAAATAAAATTATTGGTACAATATCAACCACAGCGATCTTTCCCGTTTCCAAAGTCATGCATAATTTAGCTATATTAAGAGGAATTTGTTCAAAATTTGACCAGATTGTCCAACCAGAATTCACATCTTTATCTTTAAATTCAAAGTATATTTTATCAAAAACATTTTTTTCTTTTTTGATCTATTATTCTAGGTTATTGCTCTACACGTGCTCGGATCAATCTGTTTTGATCTGATCATGGCTTGGTTGGATGTTTTCCCTCTAATGGCAAAGGTACCATTATGAAAGTAAAATGAGGGTGGGGTTTCCAGCTGCCATGAGCCCTGCAAAACAACATCCGAGGCGCAGAATTGGCAAAATTTTATTCGAGTTCAGCATATTTATATTTTTCCTTTTTGTTTGAAAATATTAATTATTGAATTACTCTAGAGAATTTTAACTGCATATTTTCGGGAGGGCAGTTAAAAAAGGATATTTAATTTATAATTTTTTTTTTCATGTATATTAAAAACTTAAATATCTTAATACCCGGATTTTATTGAGCCAAATTTGACACTCTGGAATTGCATACTAATTAAAACTTCACATTGTACTTGTAAAGTAATCATATACAATTATAGGGAGGAATAGTGTACGCGATGGCATCTGAGGATCTATTTTATTCTCTGCCTGAAGTCCCCCCTACCCAAGCACTAAGCCAAGGAACCATAGAGTATTCATAAGAAGAATTAAATCAAATCTAGCATTTATCTTATACTTAATCATTCAGCTAATAGCACTGGAAGTTCTCCAGTTCATTTGAAGTACTTAACAGTATAAATCATACTAAAGATAGGGAAACGGAATGCAGTAAAACAAATGAATCTTTATTTTTACAATGAGTTCAATCCAATTAGGTCAGGGTCAAAAATCAGGTATGTTTGAAAAGACCAGAAAGTAATGCATAGTGCAGTAAGATTTGGGTTACTGTCATAGTCATAGTGCATGGATATTGGATAATGTCACAATGTGACTATATATCATTAATGATAGAAATTCAAATCCAGAAATTCAAATCCAAAGCTCAGATTGATAGCAAAATCTTGCCAAGCCCTACAAACCTAACTTTTTCCGGTTGGCTCGAAAGAAAATTAGCCTAAACCAAAGAAAACATTAAAAATATACAGAGGCAATTACATAACATAATAAATATAACCCTAAATCTGTATTTTGACCTTTCTTGCTCAATTGTGTCCAAAAATCTTATTATTTGAAGAAAAAAACTTACTTCCAATGTTGGGCTCGATCGATCGATTTGTTGGGTTACCTGAGGTAACCTGAGGCCAAATTTAAAAAGTTTGAGCCGCGGCTCAAATTTAAGCTCAAATATGGTTGGTTCCACTTAAAATTATATTCATTGTCTCAAGATTTAAGCCGGCGCTCAATTGAAACCGGTTTTTGGCGGATTTAAGACGCGGCTTAAATTCATTAATTTCGGACACTGGGGTGGAATGTCCCTCCCTCCTCTAGGTCAACTGATTCTGCGCATGCGTAAATCCTTCTCCTTATGAATAGTCTGTTGTAGGAACTTATATCTTGTTCACTATCGTCTACCAGGTGAAAAATAGACTGACCACGATATTTCGATTGACCCTATATTTACAGGGATACCAAAAGCTTTTCAAAATTGTTCACTTTAAACTTTTTCTGAACCAAAATCCTATTGCAATTTTTTTGTACAGAGCGTCCCTTATCATATTAGATTATCTCCAATCTTTAACGCCAAAATATGCACATAATACTCGAACAAATCTAGCATTTTCTGCAAACAAAATTTCTATTAGCCTTATTACACTTTTCAAAATGATTCATTCTTCTTAAATTTTCTCATTTGTCTCCCAAATCGTAATTTAGACCCATTGACACGATCTAATTTGATGTGGAACACCCTGAATCTGAACATTGATATTTTTTTTTAATTTCTGTCTCACTTTAAAAGTGGCCCATGAATTTTAAGTCAAAAACGAATTTTGTCAGATTGTCATGTTTTCAGATTAAGGTTTAAATATTGAGTATTTAACTCTGATAATAGAGGATCCCGTTCCCGTTCATGCTATAAAGACAGAATAGGGATGTGTATTGAATTTAACTCATTACATATTTTTTTCTAAGCTCATTGTTCAAGGAACCAATTTACTAAAACTAAGCTATGAAAGATATTTAATTTAGATGTGCAGTCTGTTTAAAATATCAAAGCGCTTTCAATGTAGATCCACGTTAAACTTCAGAAATTGCACACACCAGATTGCCTTGCAATCATATTTCCTCGTGTTCAAAACTTCAAGGGTTATTGAGAAGAACAATCAAAACTAGAGGAGTTACGAGATCACAAATTTGTACTGGACATGTCGCACACACATTTGACCTTAAGAGTGAAATAGTTGTTTTCTCTAGAGAATTAGAATTTATAACTTGAAGACAAACAGCAATATTCCAGTTAACTGAAACCTCAGGTGATCGTTTGAAGTACCAGACCAACTTTTAAGCGGGTAAAGCAGGTTGTACAGTATACAAACTGAAGATTACATGGGGCAAAAAAGGACAGCTCACCAAATGAAAATTGTCGCGCACAACATCTATGATTTCTTCTATCAGTGTTTAAGCTTTTTAGTTATAAATGCCCTCTTGTTCCAAAAATAAATATTAAAAATATAATATTAAATTTCAACCTAAATATTTTCAAGATGAGATTAAAGAGGTACTTATGAAAATGTCAAGGAGGTGAACCAATTTTTAAAGTTTAAATCTTAAAATATTTTCAAGATCGGATTAGGATTAAACAATCTTTTCATCCCACATATAATATTTGAAATAAAATGTGTTTGTTAAATACAAGGTAACCCACAAAAGATAAGAGTTTATTTAGTTCTTTTTCTTTCATTCAGGGTTCCAAAACTGGCTTATTTCTGTGCCTAATCATTTATTACACCATCAAAATACGGAGACACCAAAAATCAAGCTTTGAATTGTCATATTATAAGCGTTTTGGGTCGTCTTTACAGTCTCGTCCTTTGTGTGTATAAACCTGAATATGATTTAGGAAACTTCATAATTAAAAGTTTCTTTAAAGGGAAAGTCTTCAAATTTAAAGTTTAAACGTTACATGATGTGTTGATAATGTGTCGTTACTCGTTTCGGGTTTTTTCTGTGTTTACAAGATATGATTTTCAATGTCTTTCCTGTGCATAAATCCGCGGTCACTTTTACAGTAAACGCAATTTAAAATAATCACTTTTCAGATAAAAAAAAAACATAGATAGCTCAATTATTTTAGCCCGTGTACTTATGGTTTAACCCTATCTCNAAAAATTTTTGCAAAATTTTAAATAACCTGATTTTTAATCAAGAAAAACTAAAAATGTGCAAATTTCCTTTGACAGGTTGTTTGAAAAAATTTGCAATTTTTTTTCGCAAAACTTGTGCAATTCGTTTCCTTATGTCCAAGGCTTTCCAAAAAGCTAAATTTTATCAAAATCTGACAAGCGGAAGTGGGTCAAAAAAAGATTTAGTTTGTTACAGGAAAAAGCAGTCATTCAGGCAGAGTTCCTGAGGACTCAGGCAGTTAGTATTAAAGCCCGGTTTTAAGCCTAAAGAGAGGGCTTTGGGTATGTAGGAAAAGTCAGAAAATTTCAACAGCCTCAGACCAATACTTTTTGAGTTATGTAAAAAAAAACTACATGGGGGGTCAACTTGACCCCCCCCCCTCCAGCAGGAATAGGGTTAAAAGACTAGTTGTGATTCCGGCATGCAAATTCTTTATAAAACAAAATAAGGAAAGAAATAACGAATTTTATTTTAAATCTAACTTTTATGATTTTTTTAGATCTCTGTTTATCTGGCGAAAAGGTTTAAGTTCCGAAAGGTACAGTTTATCTTTTTTCAACGGAATTTCTTGATGTTACAGCTTTTTCTCCGATAACACTTTATTTTTAAATGCAAGAGGCTTTTTACAGTTCTTTAATTTTTTTACGTCAGAGGTTTTATCAAAGCTGAAAACTTTAGAATGGTGGATATCAGGATTAAGGCTTAAACCACTCTTTTTCTTAATATCCAGTTTAAATATTGCTTGTTCTCCACATGAATTTAAACTCCAGAGAAGCAACGTTATCTTCCAATTGGATATTTCATTCTAAAGTTTTCAGCTCATGATAACTAAATTTTTCATGTAAGTGATTTTTCATAGTCAGTTAATTTTTTATGTCAAAGGTTTTATTATGATAACTAAACTTTTCATGTCAGAGATATTTTATAGTTAGTTAATTTTTAATGTCAGAGAAATTTGATGTGTTTAATGATAATGATGTATTCTCTAACCAACCTCGTATTAAAGGTTGTTCATCCTGAGACTGTGTCATTTAACCAGTCTTGTATTAAAGGTTTTTAATGCTTAGGATGTGTCCTCTAACCAGCCTCGTATCAAAGGTTGTTAATGCTGAGGCTGTGTCATTTAACCAGTCTTGTATTAAAGGTTTTTAATGCTGAGGATGTGTCCTCTAACCAGCCTCGTATCAAAGGTTGTTAATGCTGAGGCTGTGTCATTTAACCAGTCTTGTATTAAAGGTTTTTAATGCTGAGGATGTGTCCTCTAACCAACCTTGTATAAAAGTATCAAAGGTTGTTAATGCTTAGGCTGTGTCATTTAACCAGTCTTGTATTAAAGGTTTTTAATGCTGAGGCTGTATGGTCTAACCAGCCTCGTATTAAAGGTTGTTAATGCTGAGGCTGTATCCTCTAACCAGCCTCGTTTCAAAGGTGTTCAATGCTGAGGCTGTATTCTCTAACCAGCCTCGTATTAAAGGTGTATAATGCTGAGGCTATATCCTCTAACTAACCTTGCATTAAAGGTGTTCAATGTTGAGGCTGTATTCTCTAACCGTATTAAAGGTGTTTAATTCTAAGGCTGTATCCTCTAACCAGTCTTGTATTAAAGGTGTATAATGCTGAGTCAATATCCTCTAACTAACCTTGTATTAACGGTGTTCAATGCTGAGGCTTAAACCTCTAACCAGCCTCCTCGAATAAGGGTGGTAATGCTCAGGCTATATCCTCTAACTAACCTCTTATTAAAGATGATTAATGCTGAGGCTGTATCCTCTATATAACCTCTTATTAAAGGTGTTTAATGCTGAGGCTGTATCCTCTAACAGCAACCTCGAATAAGGGTGGTAATGCCGAGGCTGTATCCTCTAATTAACCTCTTATTAAAGGTGTTTAATACTGAGGCTGTATCCTCTAACCAGCCTCCTCGAATAAAGTTGTTAATGCTCAGGCTATATTCTCTAATTAACCTCTTATTAAAGGTATTTAATGCTGAGGCTGTATCCTCTAACCAGCCTCGTATTTAAGGTGTTTAACTCTGAGGCTGTATCCTCTAATTAACCTCTTATTAAAGGTGTTCAATGCTGAGGCTGTATCCTCTAATCAGCCTTCTCGAATAAAGATGTTTAATGCTCAGGCTGTATTCTCTAATTAACCTTTCATTAAAGGTGTTTAATGCTGAGGCGTATCCTCTAATTAACCTCTCATTAAAGGTGTTTAATGCTGAGGCTGTATCCTCTAACCAGCCTCGTAAGAAAACTACGGCATTCAGTGCTCTAGTCAGTATCCTAGTGATGACTGCTGGATGCGTCTTCTTTGTAAATCACTTCTATGTGTAAGTTTTATTAATTGACAAGAAAATACATCTTTAAAGGGACAGAACGGCTATTTAAGGTAGTTGAACTGAGTATGCAGTGTTGTGGAAAGCTACTTTAGTTATGTGTAGGAACATATTTCTCAAAAGAAATTTGTCAATAAATCAATGCTATAATCAATTATTTCGTTTTCATCATTATATTGAATTTCTTATTTCCTTTGAATTTATTCGCAAACTTCTTCAAATTCTTCAAATGTCGTCTTTTCAATAATAATTCCAGAATACTGAGAAAATAGAAACTAATAATTGAACAAGATTATTTATTTTCAATGATAAGATTAAATTTTATTTTCTCAACCTGTTTCTTAACAACTAATAAGTTTACTGTAGAATTTTTTTGCATTTTATGTCGTCGTTATTTAATAATTTAAAACAAACTAATTCTGAAAACGTATACTCAGCATATATACTATAACTATACTACAGGCTGTCCCACATCATATTAGACCGTCAACGGGTCCAAATTGCGATTTTCGGGACTAATAAGAAAATTTAATTAGAATGAATCAATTTGAAAGATAACATAAGGCTTATATAAGAATTTTCTTGCGGAAAATGATAAGTTTTTCGAGTATTAAGGGTTTACTTTGTCGTTAAGGATTAGAGATAATCTAATATGATATGGGACGCTCTGTATATATATATATACGTATACTATAACCTCGTTGATCCATCCCCAAAGTAGGAGTTTTAAACAAAGAGAATAGAATATATTCTATTCTCTTTGGTTTTAAACGTCGAATTTGCGCTCAAACTCAGGATTTACAGATCTTTAAAAAGTTTTATATCTCTCAAATGAATCCTAAAGAAGCTTTCCACAACACTACATACTGAGTTCAACTACCTTAAGCCGGTCTGTCCCATTAATTCTCGTAATTTTAAGTGACCCTCATCTAAAGAGGGTCATGTTGGATTCACAACTCTTGAACCCTTAATCTGATCCATTATGTGGCAGATAACGTCGTTTCTCTAGCTTCAATCTTGTTTAATTTAAATAATTTTTCCATTGTTTCAGAAGCTGAAAAGACGCAAGTCATTTTTGTAAAAAAAACAACTGAAAATAATCAGGTTTTAAGAAAAAATTTTAAAGGGTACCGTTGTGAATCAAACACTTCACTATATCAATAGAGGGTCACTTAAAAATACGTTTTCTATCTCTGTAATTCGAGTTTTACAATCCCTTCACATCAATATTGTAGTATTTACAACAGCATTATCTATACAATCCCTTCACATCAATATTTCTAGCATTTACAACAGCAATATCTATACAATACCTTCACATCAATGTTGTAGTATTTACAACAGCAATATCTATACAATCCCTTCACATCTATATTGTATTATTTACAACAGCAATATCTATACAATACCTTCACAACAATATTTGTAGTATTTACAACAGCAATATCTATACAATTTCACATCAATATTTGTAGTATTTACAACAGCAATATCTATACAATCCCTTCAAATCAATATTTGTAGCATTTACAACAGCAATATCTATACAATACCTTCACATCAATATTTGTAGCATTTACAACAGCAATATCTATACAATCCCTTCACATCAATATTGTAGTATTTACAACAGCAATATCTATACAATCCCTTCACATCAATATTTACAACAGCAATATCTATAAAATCCCTTAACATCAATATTGTAGTATTTACAACAGCAATATCTATACAATACCTTCACATCAATATTTTTAGCATTTACAACAGCAATATCTATACAATTTCACATCATATTTGTAGTATTTACAACAGCAAGAATGAGAACAAACCTATACAGTCTACGCAGCCGTATCCAGAGTTTACGCAGTCGTATCCAGAGGTTATGCAGTCGTATCCAGAGTTTACGCAGCCGTATCCAGAGTTTACGCAGTCGCATCTAGAGTCTACGCAGCATCGTCTCGACTCTGTTAAGAATATCAGCGATCTTCTTCTGATTGACCAAGTAAGAAAGTTTGAATATTTCAGGACCAGAATAAATGATTTTCAAGAAGTTGTTGAACTACATAGAGAAGGTTCACTACATATCTTTACGCCGGTTCAACTTGAACTTTTAAATTTTGAACTATCCTAGCTGGGGCTAAAGCCGAGTTCTGTTTCAGCCAATAGATTGATTAACCCGATATTTGCGACGCTCTGATTGGTTGGAATTGTCGGGAAATTTGTCTGCATCCAGTGAATTTACAGTAGGTTTGTTCAAAGTCTTGAATTTTGAATAGGTGATTCAGGATTTGAGCCAGCAAGCACTTGAGAATAAGTTAAACCAGCGGTAGTTAGTTTAGCAACCTCTTTCAAATTCATTAAATTTGGTCCCTTATAAACTTTTAGGCTTTAATTTTGTTGCCTTTCTTAATCCAAACTTTGGTAGTCGGTAAAAATTTATTCTATGAGAAGAATAGATTTTTAATGGTTTTATTTAATTCAGACTGAACATTAAACAAACAATACTTCTTTTGACATTGTCGAAAAATCTTCTTTATGAATATTCAACAATTGCAATTTATTTATTGTAAATGTATACATCTTAGATTACTTTGGTCAATTCAACAACTACATCTTCACTTCAGGCTCATCATTAAACATAAAACATAGAACAATGAAATTGAGTCTTTGCCACAAACTCATTTTCTAATACCTATATCGGTTTAACTCAGTGTCGTACCCATGACACGACAGCATTTACATTTTTTTCTAAGCAGGAAATTTTCCAAAAACCTAGGCATTTGGGAAATTTCCCAGATACCCAGGCATTTGGGAAATTTATTTCCCAGATACCCAGGCATTTGAGAAATTTCCCAGATACCCAGGCATTTGGGAAATTTCCCAGATACCCAGTCATTTGGGAAATTCCCCAAATTCCTATAGGTATTTGAGGGTGGTATATTTTTAAGATTTTGGAAATTTCTCAAATGCCTGGGTACTTGAGAAATTTTACACATACCTAGGCCTTTGGGAAATTTCCCAGATACCCAGGGATTTGAGAAATTTCCCAGATACCTAGGCATTTGGGAAATTTCCCAGATACCCAGGCATTTGGGAAATTCCTATTTTTGACATTTTTGATAATTGCTGTCACTCCCTCGTCGTACCCCTTACATATTTCAAACTATTAATTCTGTTAAATAAAAATATCTACGTTTGAAATATAGAACCTTCGCACCATATCACGTTGCAAAGATATCGGGATTAGAAAATGTTAGTTTGTTTCAAAGATTCATTCTCATTTATTAATATATAATCTATAATTCTAAGCCAGTTTTATTAATATATAATCTATAATTCCAAACCAAAAAAATTAATATATAATCTATAATTCCAAACCAGTTTTATTAATATATAATCTATAATTCCAAACCAGTTTTAAAGCAAATCAATCCTAGTTGAGAGAAAATCCCTATCCTAGAGAACTGTGACTTACGATCACATTTTAATCTTTAAAACACTTTTGTTCTTTTTTGTCGGCATATGCGTTTTAAACGAAAAAGTTTAAAAGAGAAAACTCCGTAAGTTTAAAGATTGTGGTACAACGTGATTGAATTTAAATAGAAGAAACCGAATGCATCTTGTCCTGTCCGGTCGGGGTGCAGAAATTTTAAGGAGTATAATTAGATTCATGTGCAAAAAAAAACAAAAAAAAATATTTCAAGAAACCCCCATATGTATTTTTTCATTATGTTTAAATAAATTGCCTCTGTGGATTAGACGCTTAACTATGCCACAAAATTCAGGAAATGATTAAAATTGATTTCAAAGTCTAGGTAAAAAGGAATTATAGTACTTCTAAAAAATTTAAATCTACTTTTCCTCTTTAATTGATCAAATCTTGAAACTTGATTTTTTAACTGTACAGGTTTTAAAAAGTAGATTGTTTACAATGAAAGAAGCTTTAAAACAAATTTTAGCTTTCAACGAAAAAAAAATTAATCACATTTTATTCAATTTTTAACAGAAGCTGCAAACCCTGTACACTGAGGTCAATTCTCTTCGTGTTCGCCTACCTGGTCCCATGTAAGTACCAGTACTTAAGCATTTACCGGTACAAACATTTACCGGTACAAGCATTTACCGGTACAAGCATTTACTGATACAAGCATTTACCAGTACAAGCATTTACCAGTACAAACATTTACCAGTACAAACATTTACCGGTACAAGCATTTACCGGTACAAGCATTTACCGATACAAGCGTTTACCAGTACAAGCATTTACCAGTACAAACATTTACCAGTACAAGCATTTACCAGTACAAGCATTTACCAGTACAAGCTTTTACTAGTACAAGCATTTACCAGTACAAGCATTTACCGGTACAAGCATTTACCAGTACAAGCATTTTCCGGTACAAGCATTTACCGGTACAAGCATTTACCAGTACAAGCTTTTACCAGTACAAGCATTTACCGGTACAAGCTTTTACCAGTACAAGCATTTACCAGTACAAGCATTTACCGGTACAAGCTTTTACCAGTACAAGCATTTACCGGTACAAGCTTTTACCAGTACAAGCATTTACCGGTAAAAGTATTTACCGGTACAAGCTTTTACCAGTACAAGCATTTACCCGTAAAAGTATTTACCGGTACAAGCTTTTACCGGTACAAGCTTTTACTGGTAGCATCTTTTTTGTGAACAAACTAAATTGTTTGTTAAATATGGTGTCGTATGATCGTTCGGATAAACTTGAAAAACCGGTAGTTTTTTTTCCTGAACGAATAAATTTTCAGAAAAATTCAAAAACTATAAATTTTTTTATGAACGTGTGGAAGACGATGCCTGGCCGCGTTAAACTAGTTCCACAAGATTCAACAGAATGAGATAGAACGGATACGGGGCATTAGTACTGATATCATCTCTACAGTCTACACGTGCGATATCGATATTGACTCTAGTTCTGAACCCTCTAGTAATAAGTTATAAGAAATATATATACTGGAAGTTATTTATGCGTTTTATTAGAGTCTGACTCACGTCCTCTATAAACGAACATTTCTTTCTAACACACTTTTAAAAACGATACTTTTTTTCTGAATGAAAAATTTTTTGATTTTTTTTAAAAAAACGATCGTTTTTTTCTCTGAAAGAACGATTTTCTTGAACGAACAATTTTACTGAACATTCATTCAGTGAGAAAACGAAGGAAATAAATAGAAAATGAACGATAATTTTGAGAACAAACGAAATAATTTTTTTAAATTGAAAGAAAACGAACGAAATGGAAAATATAGCGCTAAACTTAATCTGGAGATAGATAATTTCTCTGAGCAACTTCAAAGTTTATCTTTTTGCATGCTTGCCATAATAAAAACCGTATTCTTAAAGGCTAGTTTTTTTAATAATTAACAAATAACCATAATTTTTAATTATTTTTCTAAACAATTTATAACAAAATTTGCCACAACTCTTCAGAAATTAAAAACATGGTAACCCTAGAACGAAAACATCTTTACACTAGGTGTAGCGTTTATCTTCAACAAGAAGCTACGAGGCTTTGTGTTCAGAGCTCTTCAAAACTATTCTCTTCAAGCACTATTGCATGATTACTATAGGTAAAACTTGGGTTTTTAACGGAAGTGGGTTTTACTTGTTTGCAATTGCGAGCCCATGTAATTGTAAACTCCACTTGAAGTTCCGCCCATTTACATACAATTTTGCGCAATTCGACAACGGTTGCGTGCAATTCCACTGCAATTGCAGGTAATTCCTCGCAACAGAATTCCGATTGGAAACCCTAGGTAAAACTAAGCCTGGTTCAAGGATGTAATGCAAGGAAAGTTATTTCAGAAGTGTACACATCTTTTGTACTGCAGTGTACTGTCTCTGGGCGCTAATGTAAACACAAGAAGGATGTCGAAGCCTGTCATGGGATCCATCTTTCACATAAAAAAATTAATGAAATATTATGGTCATAGGAAACTATTATGCGAATTATCAAAATTATCAAAATTTGATGCTTTTAACCTCCTCGGATACTAAACGAACACTGATGCATCTATTCTTGTTTACAAATTCCGCCCAGAGAGAACTGGTTTCAATATGTACGCAGAGTATACACGACCGCAATTAACTTTCCTTGCATTACATTCTTGGCCTGGTTTATTAATTGAGGCATAAAACTAATGAAAAATCAAGATTTTAAGATAAGATACTGTTTAGAAACATGAGCACATTTGTTATAATTTATACAAATGATGACATAGAATATTAAAAGCGATAAAAATTAACATCTAGAATAGGTTCGGGGACTTACTAAATAATATAAATAATCATCAGAAACAAATAATCCTTTTATAACTTTAACATTTCAAATTTTTAGTCATTTTTAAGTTAAGCAAAATGTTTTATAGCTTTTTAAAAAATTTATTTTTTTAATCAATTTTACCTAGAATCAAAGCAAAAAAAAAAATTGAATCTCAATCCTGTAAAACACGTTTACAAAAAAGAATAAGTAATTTTCACAAAAGTATAAGTTACGATGTTTTATAATAACTTCTTTGAGTGGTACAACCGTAAAATGCTATGAGTTGAGATTCTGGATTTTGTAAATTTACAAAATCAGCTAATTTTTATCCGTTTTAAAGGGAAAAAGTTGAATTTTGCACAAATCATATAGAATTTAAATTTACTTTTAAAAAAAACTAAAATGTGAACCAGAAAACTAAAAAGTAGGATGCTAACTTGTAAGCTCGAGTTATGACTTTAAATAGTCTAGTAAACATGAGACAGACACAGTGTGCAATGTAAACAGACCCATTTTGCTTAATCAGTGATTTAATAAGTTAACATTCAAACTTGCTTTGTAACAAGATTTAACCACTTGAGGATTCCTGTTAGTCAGCTTTCTGGTTCTCATTGTATTGAAAAGTATTATGTATTATTTGAAAGACCAAAGAGACGAGTTAGTCCAATGAATGTCCCTGAAGCAAAAGGGAGAGTTGAACTTGAACCCAAACCTCGTACAAGGTATAATAAGACTTTTCTATGTAAATCTTCATAAAACATTGTTTAAACAATTTATTTAAATTTTTTTTCATCAAATGGTATGTTATACTATTATGGAGCATTCTTGTAAAAGCCAATTTCATTTCTTAATGTTCAGTACTGGCCACATATTCATAAAATATATTGGTATTTAAAAAACCCTCTATTACTAGAGCGGCATGTCCGATACTCAAGCATGTATAATCTAAAAACTCTGATCTGATTAAAGTAAATGCCATCTTTATCTTTTCATTTACAATTTTTTTTTATAAAATACAGGGTTTTATTTATAACAAAAAATGCAGTGTTTATCAGGAAGCCTGAGAGATACTATTTATTTTTCACCCTAATAGATTATCAAGTACTAGAATCTATTTCGTTTTCACCCAAATAGATTATCAAGTACTAGAATCTATTTGGTTTCATCCAAATAGATTATCAAGTACTAAAATCTATTAGAAACAAAACCTCTCCGAACCCTAATTTTAATCGAAAATCTGTGGTCTATACTGAAAGTCGGGAGTCATTGTGTAAAAAAAATATATACATATTTATACCATTACCGACGCTTTTCTTTATATATTAGATATGTTTTTATGCAACTTAAAGGGCCTGTAAGCGTTATTTCAAGTGACCCTGCTTGCAAAGATGGCAATGCTTGATTCTCGACAGAATCCTTAAAAGATGAATAGAGAATAAATTATATTTCACTGTTCATAATTTTGAAACCTGATTATTTTCAACTGTGCAGATTCTTTATAAAAATGATTTGGAAATTTCTCCTGCAGGCTGCAGAAAAGTATATAAGAATAATCAGAGTTTAAAACTTTTAAACCTAGAACATCAACAATATCATCCACATTATTGATCAAATAAAGGTTTCAAGAGTACCTTTGTGAATCGGACATTGTCATCTTTGCATGGAGGGTCACTTGAAATTACGCTTTTAATATGAATTATGATAGGGAAAGATCTGCTAAAAATTACGCTTAAAATTGTATCATTTCTTTTATGTTATTAACTAAAAATCTAAATTTCAAGGCCCAGACTCGAAGCACATCGAAGCAGACGTTCCATTGACATGGGGTACAATATCATAACTCATTTTATTCAAATCTATGTTTCATCTTGTATTAAATTTATTAAAATTTCAAAAGCATTTTTTGCGGCTATATGGGTCAAGTTAAGTTTTGAAAAGACGTAATAGCAAAATTAAACAAATACCATCTGGAAAATCTTTCAATTACGCAAAATTTTAAAAATCCAATATGTCAATTTTTTTCAGGGAAATAGAATTCACTTTAACACACAACTCAGGTATTTTAACCTTAATTGAGATTTGAGACGGAAAACAAAACTATTAAAATAATTGAATTTAAGGATCAGTATTGATTGAAGCTGAGATACACACAGCCTTTACAACAGTTAAGACTGAGAACTATGAAGACGACCTCATCGAAACTTTTCCCGGACATTGTGAAATAGACACAAGGACGAGGTAAAATTGACATTGTGACCTCGTAGCTCCTCTAAAAAATATCCGGTTACACATTGGAAAAGCTCTTCATTAATTAGAAGTTTTTTTATTTGAATATTTAAATTGTATGTACAGTTTAGCGTGACCATGGGCAAAGCATGATAATTTTTGTTGTCCGCTTTACAGATACATTGGATAGAAATCAGACATTACAGTTATCATTTAGTTTTGCTACTGAGAAGTATGAAGACGACCTCATCGAAAATATTCCTGATAATGCTCCCGGGCACAGTGAACTAGACAGAAGGAAAAGGTAAAATTCATCTGACTTTGTGACCTCGATAGCTGCTCTATAGCTTTAATCTAACACAATAATATGAGTAAAAGAACAAATTATCCAGTTACAAATTAGAATAGCTCTTCAATGGCCAGGAGTTTTAATTGAATATTTTCATTTCATGTTGTCCGCTTTAGATACATTGAATAGAAATCAAAATAGGATCAATTTTTCATTATAGTTATCATTTAGTTTTGCTAGTGAGAATTATGAAGACGTCCTCATCAAAACTATTCCTGATAATGCTCCCGGGCATTGTGCACGCGACAGAAAGAGGTAAAATTTATCTGACTAAAACCATTTGTTTTGTAACAACCAAAATGCACTAAAGATTGCTATAATGTTGTATTCCTATTCCATTGTTTTCTGGTTATCACTGTAAGATTTTAGGTAAAATTTACTAAACTTTAAAGTGACACGGGCACAGCAAGTTCATTGATGTTGCTGTCAGGTTTACAGATACATTGAATAGAAATCACACATTTAGTTCTGCTAGCGAGAGTTATGAAGATGACCTGATCGAAACTATTCATGATGGGCACAGTGAACTAGACGGAAGGACGAGGTAAAATTGTGACCTCGAAGCTCCTACAGCGTTGATCTTGAGCACAAGTTTATGAAGAAGAAAAAGGAATTGAGTCTTACCCAAAAACTCTAATTTTCTCATCCCTATATTTTTTCAACCTGATGGTGTAAATCTTTGATTATTTGATCTAACAAATCTTATGGTTGAAAAAATCTGAGGTTCAACGACATCGGGTTGCAAAGATATTGGGAATAGAAAACCAGTGTTTGTGGCACAGATTAAATTTCTATATATTTCTATACATATTAGAGAAGCAAAACATTGTTGTTCTTCTCAATACCTCTTCAATATTTAGGAGTTATAATTAAAAACATTTTAGATTTGAATCGTACCTGCAAATTGCACTCCGTTGGTTAGTTTTTGGATCGTTCTTTGGCTATATTTTTGTCAGGGTCCAAATTTGGCACAGTGTTACAAGGGCAATTGTTGTAATTAAAAAGAAAGAAGATATTGTAAAAAACGAACCAAAAACGAACCGAATATGAACCAAAAACGAACCAAAAACGATTTAAATATGTCGAACGGGCCGGTTATATGATAGTTACCTAACTAGCTGTGTGCTCAGTTAGCTGTACTGCACACTTACAACTGTTTACAAATAATGATATACTATAGTTTAGGCCATTACGCTCAATTAGTAAAGGATTATAGTGTACATAATTACTCTATACACTATTACCTCGTTGGTTATAACTATCGTTTTTTTTTAATATTATTGAAGATAAAAATGTTTCATCGTTAAAATGAAGAATTTTTAAATCTTAAAAGTTTATTAAAAAAAAAATTCAACAATAAAAACAATTTTCGTGCAATTTACTTTAGTTTAACGCGTAAAGAGATGGTTGGTGAAGAAAGTTCTAGAAGATTAAATGAGATGGTTGGTGAAGAAAGTTCTAGAAGAATAAATGAGATGGTTGGTGAAGAAAGTTCTAGAAGAATAAATGTTGATTCAACAGAACAAATTCAGTTTAATCTTCCTGGACAGATAATGGAGTAATTATAATAAAAATAGTTAAAAACAAAAATTATCATTTACTTATGTAAGTCCATATACACTTTACTGTCCACTAAACATGGCGGTTGAAATAATTTGAAATAAAAAAGTTTAAGCCCCCCCCAATAAAATTTCTGACCACTGTATTTGGGAACTGTAGTTTAAGTCAACAAAAGCATAAAAGCTAATTTTCAGTAGTTTACATATATATTAACAACGATCAGAATACATAACATAGCTTTAACAATGGTTACATGATGATAAAAAAAGCAAATTCAAGAAAATATTTTTTGTAAAGAAATTATTTGAGCACTAATAATTAAGCAGAAGGAAATTCTTTTTTAGAATAATAATACACGTAGATGGAACGGAGAAATAATAACAACAATCATCTATTCATAGATTTCTACATTTTTTACATGAAGTGTTAAACAGACATATATAACAGATACATAACAAGGATGATCAATTTTTATCATTCCACTTTGCATATGATTAGTTTTAAATATTAAAAAATAACAAAAGACACTTTTTTCTCAAATTAAAGTTATTAAGTTTAAGGTTAAATACCTCAATATTGATCATGCAATATAGCAACCAAAGAACATAGGAATGATTGAAAATAATAATCTTTCTAGACAGTCCAAAAACAAGTACAAAGAAGATGCTTAAAGCTTTTACAGATTGTTTAACTAATTTATGCCCTGCTGTACAGCTTCTTTAACTAATTTATGTACTGCTGTACATATTGTCAAACTAATGTACGGCTGTAAATATTGTTAAACTAATTAATGTACTGTTGTACAGATTGTCAAACTAATTAATGTACTGCTGTACAGCCATAGAGAATAGAATATATACTAGAGGGGAATTTAAAGAATCTCTCGGTATGAATTTTTTCAGTCCCTTTCAGCCTGAAAGGGAGTTGTTCAAAGTGTACAAATCATGTTAATGTTCACAAATTATATGCAGTAGAGTACATTAATACAGTATGTTCCCTAGACTATTCATTTCAATTTCGAATTTTTTAAACTGTTAAATAAACTCTTTAATGAATTAGGTGAATAAAAAACATCATTTGATTTATAGTTATAACGGAAAATCATCATTTGTAAAGTGAAAGGCATAGAGTCTATGTGAAATGATCATTGGTCAATTATGAAACCAGCCTATTTCATAATTTAGTTTTCTTTTAACAATAATTTTAGATTTTATATAAAATAATATTCCAGGGCCCAAAAGGTTATATAGCATAAATTTTTTTTTTGCGATAACTCAAAAAGTATTGAGCTAAAAAGCTCAGATTTTCTGACTTTTCTAACTAACACATGCCCATCACTTAAGGCTAAAAGCTGGGTTTTTATACCTACTGCCTGAGTCCTCAGGCATACTGCCTAAATGCCTTATTTTACCCATACTAGACTAAATATATAATTCCAGTCGTTGCATTTCAACATTTCATGACACTTTGGAAAGCCTATAACAAAAGCAACCAGATTGCACAATTTTTGCAGAGAAATTTTGCAGTTTGCACAGATTTTTGCACAGACGCCATTAAAGGGAATTTGCATATATTCTGTTCTTCTTAAATAGGTTTAAGAAATTATGAAGATGTTTTTGCAGATTTAAATTTGCTGGGTCAAGAACTTTTCAAAAATGCATAATTTGTTGCCATTTGCACAATTTTTTGCTTAATATCTAGATTTCGCACTAATTATTTGGATCTTATTTGCAATTTTTTCAATAAACGTATCAAAGTTATAAGATTAGTGTCACAGTTAAAAAAGAGGGAGGGGGGGAAATTTGACCCCCCCCCAGGGAACCAGGCATGAAACCAATTACGTCAGGGTAAATAGGGTTAACCATGATAAATACTTCTTGGATTACAATTCATCAATTATATTTTCATCTTCTTCCTTCTCCTCTTCCACTTCCTCCTCGCCTTCAGGAGGAGGAACAAACAGTTTCTCAATACTGAAATATCAGTTTAAAGGGACTTTATACAGTTTCTCAATACTGAAATATCAGTTTGAAGGGACTATATAGTTTCTCAATACTGAAATATCAGTTTAAAGGGACTACATACAGTTTCTCAATACTGAAATATCAGTTTAAAGGGACTATATACAGTTTCTCAATACTTAAATATCAGTTTAAAGGGACGATATACAGTTTCTCAATACTGAAATATCAGTTTAAAGGGACTATATACAGTTTCTCAATACTGAAATATCAGTTTAAAGGGACTATATACAGTTTCTCAATACTGAAATATCAGTTTAAAGGGACTATATACAGTTTCTCAATACTGAAATATCAGTTTAAAGGGACTATGTAAGCGTAATTTTAAGTGAACTTCCATGCTAACTAGGCCATGGCAGATTCACAACGGGACCCATGAAACTCTACTCTCATCAAAAATGTGGAAGTTACAATCGGCTTTTTGACTCAAACAGTGTTTATTTCTGTTAATTTTTTTCTTGCTTCATATAAGCAAGAAATGCGCGTCTTTTTTGCAGAGAAATCGCAAATGAAAATAAACAGAGCTGAAAACTTTAGAATGGGGGATATCGAGATTAATGCTTGATCCTCACTTTTTGATAATCTCAAGATTAACCTAATCTTGCAAGATTATCTTGAAAGTGTATGAAAAACGATCAAATTCAAATTAATATTTAATCATCTGAGAAACTGTAGCAGCCAATCAGAGAAAAGCGGGCAACCAATGAGAGAACAGAAATATTCTCATTGGAGAAAACAATTTTTCTCTTTCAAACTTTTTATTGAAACAATAAAGGTACAGATCTGAGAAAATTGTGTAATAATGATAAAAACACACGAATATTCATTTATATATATATATATACAAAGATGCTTCTCGCAAATTACTCTCTAATTTAAGGTACGGAATTTAAACTAGTAAAGACTTAACAACTCTGAGATCTGGAATAAGATCCTACATGAAATGAAAAAGGACTCTCTTTTTGAATATAATAGAAAATAGAAAAAGACTTCTCGTCTAGGGTAAAAAAAAAGACTTCTCGTCTAATATCATAGGAAGAGGTTAGAAAAGAAATAAGAAAGAATACGATAAAATATCGATAAATGCACAAAACATTGGATAGTTAACCAATTTATAATGTTTATATAGTTTATCAAATAAACCTTGAACCTGAACTGTATTTTGGTGGCTTGGGACATTAGATCTTGGCTTTAGTTGATCTATGAGCTAGAGCTTCATTCTTAGATCTAAAACTGTCCGCGGTCATTCTATAGATCACTTCAAAATATGTCACTATAGATTTGCCCATCTTTAGCTTTAGTGCATCTGAGAGATGAAGCATTTGCTTGAGTTTAGTGCCTTTCCAGGATACTAGTCGGTGGTCAGCAAAATTTTCCATGAGGTTAGCGGGTCCGATCACTTTGCTGTGTTGCATGATACGAACACCCCAGGTGTGGAAGCATGGAGCCATGTCTGTTGGTATATGGGGATGTTTGTCACCTCGATTCATCTCTCGAATTCTTGTTGTGATGTTGACAAGGGTATCCCGGTAATTATGCTTGAGTTTTCTATCCTTCTCACAGAGAGATACTAGCTGGGGTGGGAAGGGTAGGGTTGCTGCTGCAAAACTGCTCCAGTATGCGCTGTTCTCGCCAAGGCAGATGCTTCTAACGGTTTTGCTGAAATCATATATATCCTGCATAATTTCATCACTATTAGAACCGCAATCACGTCATTTAATCCGCTGCACAGGATCACGTCGACTGGCCTATGAGTATTACCATACTCAGCTCGGAATGCATGATGGAGATCCCTGACGGATATCCAAGGAGAGAGAAAAAGAGTGGATTAGGACAAAAATGAAAAGTTTCAACAGTGGATATTCGGATCAAGAAGTCAGGATTAAAGTGTATCCATTCTAAAGTTCCCAGCTCAGTTCAAAGAATCAAAAATATGAATATCTAATTCCTACTTTATTGGACAAACCTTTGAAGGGTATCGTTGTAAATCGGGTATTGTCATCCTTGCTATAGGGTCGCTTGAATACACGCTTACAGTCCATTTTTCATCTATATGTTTTTTTGCTTGACTGTCTATTTGTATTCAGTAAACGTGAATACGGGTAACCCGATCCATTCAAAATTTTTGTGACAACTTGCATGACCCACAGGAAAGGTTTATAGATGGGTAAATTTGAAAATGTATTCGTGAAAAAAATTACGCAAAAAAAGTTCAAATTTTTTATTGCAGATATGGACGGTGAAAAATAATTAATTTTAACCATTGCTTTTTATTAATTAATAAAAAGCAACAATTCGAATCTAAAATTGTTAAAATAGTGATTTTATTTTTTCAAAAAAAGTTCACTCCTTGAGAATATAGAACTTGGAACATAAACACCCCTAAAAACATTACCTGCAGTACCAATGTACAATTCCAAGCATTGTTGACAACAATCCCAAAATACCTAATAAATATTTCTTAAAGAACAGATCATGACTCATTACAGCTGGATCAGACTGTTCTAACTCAGAAGGAGTGGTGGAAAAAGACTGGGTGGGAGTGGTGGAAAAAGACTGAGTGGGTGTAGGTTTCTAAGCTAAATCTTAAATCTAGACCTGCCAGCATGCATTTTCTTCTAATTTTTTATCTTCTTTATTATTTGGATGTTTCAACTAATTTCTTGGCGCCAAGGTATGGATATTTTAGAGGAGTGTGATGTAAGGAATAGGTTAGGAGGAGGCGTATTGAGGAATTTTTCATTGCGGAAAAAAAGCCTACTTGTTCCTCGATTTATAGTCATTTCCGACTTGCGTGGAATTGATGAACTCATATAGTTTTGCACCACATTATGCATAGGAGGATTACAAATATACTTTTATACCCAACTCTGAATAAGATCTTCTGTAGCATGACATTCTTAAGAGCAGGATAAGTTCCTGTTCCATGTTTAAGAGCAGGATATGTAAAAACCTGTATCAGCGTGTGCTTCATCACTGATTTTTAAGTTTCTGTATTCCTTCTTTCAGACGAGATGTATGACAGAGAAGAGCTGAAGATGGAGTTTCACATTTATTTTCTCTATTCCTTTATCTTGTCTGAGTTGAGTTGCACATTTAAATCAGCGCTTAAACTACTCCTGATCCTGGGACCTCTAACATGCTTTCTCTCGGCTCCCTTCCATGGAGAAGGAACTTGGGAGAACCTTTCCTATGAGCGAGTAGGATACGACTGCAATAAAAGCTAGAATTTAAGTCAAAAGACTTAATTCAACCTTGGAATTGTCATATTAAAAGAGTTTTAGGCTCTCTTTACAGTCTCATCCTTTGTGGGTTTACCTGTATCTTTGTATATAAAAAAGAATTGATAAATTGATGTTTTCAGTTAGAAAAAGAGGAATAATTAGATAATTATTTTTTGGTTAGAAAGAAGGAAATAGTTTTAAATACACCACCCCTCCTATTTAAATACACCACCCCTCCTATTTTTGTACGTCCAAAACTATGGCACTGAAAAGTTGATTGTTGAAATTTACTTTAGGAAAATGGCTGAAAATTTAAACATCCAAACCGTGAAGAAAATATTTTACCAAGAATTGACAGCAGTAAAAACACTAACCTAGTACAATGTTCATGCCGATTACAAACTTGAGATGTGTATCATGATCACTAAAAATAATAATAATAAACTAGATATGTGTATATCATGATCACTAAAAATAATAATAATAAACTGGAGATGTGTATCATGATCACTAAAAATAATAATAATAAACTGGAGATGTGTGTCATAATCACTAAAACTAATAAACTTGAGATGTGTGTATCATGATCAAAATATATAAAATATATATTATGATAAAAATAATAATGATAATCTTGGAATGCGTACCATGGATCAATACCAATAAAAACCTTGAGATGCTTATTATGATGACAGAAAGTTTAAAGATAAAAATCATAATTTATGGATTTCTCATTGTAAATTAAGGTCATAGAAGTTTAATTTTTTGTTCCTTTTATAACTAACCTGATAATATGTTCCATTACTAACTAACCTGATAATATGTTCCATTAATAACTAACCTGATAATATGTTCTCTAATAATATGTTCCATTAATAACTAACCTGATAATATGTTCCATTAATAACTAACCTGACAATATGTTCCATTAATAACTAACCTGATAATATGTTCCATTAATACCTAACCTGATAATATGTTCCATTAATAACTAACCTAATAATATGTTCCATTAATAACTAACCTGACAATATGTTCCATTAATAACTAACCTGATAATATGTTCCATTAATAACTAACCTGATAATATGCTCCAAAGTTAGTCCTGACGTTCCAGTGTAAATTGCCACCCCCACTATACCTCTAGAGATAAAATAGTAAATCAATGAATACCCCAACTATACCACTAGAGATAAAACAGTAAATCAATGAATATCCCAACTATACCATTAGAGATAAAATAGTAAATCAATGAATACCCCAACTATACCACTAGAGATAAAACAATAAATCAAAGAATATCCCAACTATACCACTGGAGATAAAATAGTAAATCAATAAATATCCCAACTATACCACTAGAGATAAAACAGTAAATCAATGAATATCCCAACTATACCACTAGAGATAAAATAGTAAATCAATGAATACCCCAACTATACCACTAGAGATAAAACAATAAATCAAAGAATATCCCAACTATACCACTGGAGATAAAACAGTAAATCAATGAATATCCCAACTATACCACTAGAGATAAAACAGTAAATCAATGAATACCCAACTATACCACTAGAGATAAAACAGTAAATCAATGAATACCGGCCAACTATACCACTAGAGATAAAATAGTAAATCAATGAATATCCCAACTAGTTTTCCAATAAAAGTATCTATGATAATTATTTTTGATTAAAAGAAAAATTTGATAAAACATTGACAGACCCCTTTACTGTTCTCACCCTGCCCAGATGATGTTTGGTCCAATAGTGCTGACAAAGAAGACGACTTTAGTTCCTCGCCTGCTCAAATCCACCACTATACAATACATTTATCATTAAAACAACATTACAATAAAATTAAGGTATTTCCGTTCAAATAAAATCAAAAGTAGGCAACTAAATTTGGCTGATTTAAATAGATAATCATAAGATTAAAGCCTTTTTTTAAATAAACTCTGATTTTATAATCCCTATATCTTTGCAAGCCATTGTCGCAGATATCTTAAACTAAAAATTCTTCTTTATCAAATTATCTTAGTTTGAAATTTCAAAGGTTTACACCATAAGGTTGCACAGATATATGGATTAGAAAACTTGAGTTCGAGGCAAAAAATCTGAAAAATACTTCAAATTCCAATATCTAATCATAATGCACCGAAACAAATAACTAGTATCCCAAAATAAATGTAGATAATGTACAATACAAGCATCTAGGGATTGACATCTTCAGGTTCCGATCATTTTTGTGAAGGAACGAAATATTTCAAAATGAACAAAATTTTGCAAGAAACGGTGGTAACGTTAAGAATAATTTCTTAGTTGTTCGCTTGTATACATACGATCGTTTATTTTAAATAAACTAACTTTTTTCTAATGAAAATACAAACATTCATTTTTACTGAACGAACAATTTTCATGAACAAACCCAATGAACCAACTTAATTTTGCGATAATTTCAGTTAGAAAACGAACAACGTAGGCATGGAAAATTAAAGATTATTCTGAAAACAAACGAATTCAAATTTTTACCAGATGACAAAGAAAAAACGAGCAAAATTGGTCATTTATGAATGAAGAAAACACGGTTTAAAAAAGGGAATTCGCCAATCTTTAATAGCATCAAACAATATTAATATTATAACACATAAAGAACAGACAGATTATCTGATAACATAAATACCTAGAGTGCCAGCAAAGTTGTAGAGAAGATATCCATTGGGAACAAAAATGGAAATAGCACCTAAACACAATAACAGACTATTTATAACAATAAATCGACTATTAGAAGCCTATCAAATGGTAGATAAATGTGAAATGACAAAAAGTAATCACACAAGCAATCATAGAGGCCTCGGACCCCTCAATAGACTGGAGGCCTCTTATGGACCAATCTTCAGACTGCGGGACTCTCAGGGGCCTCTTTTTGGACTGGGAGTTTCTCATAGACCTCTATTGTTGTGAATCATACATGCCCCTTTTAAAGGCAGGGTTACTTAAAATTACAATGACAGTCCATTTAACTCTTGGTTATATTTTGGTCATGGTAGATGCTCTCTTTCAATCCAACAATTAAATAAACATCAAAATCCATATTAAACGAGATAAAAAAAATAATCTATAAGATAAACCAACCTAGAATGATGCTAATAGTAGGTGACCGACTCATGTACAACCATGTACATAAATTACACAGAAAGCCTTAATTAATATGATTCTTATTAAAATTGTAGAATGGACTGTAAGCGTATATTCAGTATCCCTCTATGCAAAGATAGCAATGTCTGATCTACAACTTTAACCTTTATAGCTTTGTCTGATCAAGTATAAATTAGATATCCAAATTTTTGTTTATTTAAACTATTTATTTTCATTTCCGGTTTCTCTGCCAAAGTGACTTGCGCATTTTGGCTTATAAGAAACAATAGAGAAATTTACGGAAATAACCACTTTTCGAGTCGGGAAAAAGGCGTTTTCTTCCATTTGATCAGAAAAAGGTTTTAGGGTACCGACGCGTTGTGAACCGAGCATTGAAATCTTTGGGGGTCACTTGAAATTACGCTTACAATCCCTTTAGTGAAAATGATTCGTATTCAACTAGTTTTCAATATTGTTAAACTGAAAATTGACATATTCCAGAAAATCATATTTTTACAAAAATAATCCACTAACGAAGCTAATTTTTCTTAAACCAGCCAGAAGGGTGCAGAATCAAATCAAACACCAATGAGAAGAGAGGCCTTTGCACTAATTACTTTTAAGAGAAAAATATCTTTCTGGAATATAATTTGTAAGGTACATATTGAAACTGAAAGATTTTGGTATGTTCCAATCATTCAAAAAATGGGACAATATGTTTATGTATAGGGGGGGNAGGTCCTACATTAGTAATCACAGCCACCCAAAAGTGTTTTAAGGCATGCGCGCTCCTCAATTGGTAATTTTCACCTCCTCAAGTCTTGAAGTTTTACATTGCCTATTCACTAAAAACTACTAATAAATAGCATTAAAAATATTTAGTTTATTGAAAAATATTATAATAAAAATAAGACTAAGTAAAATGAAGGGCTTCAAGGAATGTTTTATGAAATATAAAAATCAGGATTAAAAACTGAAAATGACTACAACTACAATGGAGTAGTCCTAATCTTTATTTTCCTTCAAAATTATCAGAATCAGGGACAGTCAACAGAAGGAAAAGAAAAAAGGTAGAAGGACAGAAACGATAACATGAAGACTCAAATCAACATTTGTCTGTTTCAACTATATCCAATTTATAAGATTAAAAATTCAAAACTAAAAAAATAAATCAGGATTAAAACTTTTTTGTCTAAGAAGAACGCTGAAATCCATGAGTGAAAAAGATGTTTAATGACTCACCTGTAACAATTATGAGTATTATGTACTGCCTCAAATACACACAGAAAAATGATATTCCAATAACTATAAACAAAATAAATATATTATTAAATAAACCATCTACTTTCAGGTACTTTCCCATAGGCTTTTTTCCAAGCGGCAACTTCCCTAGGGTATTTTCCAAAATGGCAACTTCCCAAATGTGCAATTTCCCAAGTCTGTCCTAGGAGTCCTAGCCTTAGTGCTTGGCCTTTATTGCAGCCTACAGCGACACAGAATGTCTAATCTAACAAAAAATGCCTTTGGGATAAGCCGTAAGGATAATGCCTTTGGGAAAATGCCTTTAGGAAAATGCCTTCCGGAAAAAATGCCTTTGGGAAAACGCTTTTGGGAAAATGCCTTCAGGAAAATAGCTAACACGGTAACACCCATATAGAGTATGCAGGTAAGGGTAAAGAGTACAAGTAGTACCTGTATAGAATACAGGTAAGGTTAAAGAGTACAAGTAGTACCTGTATAGAATACAGGTAAGATTAAAGAGTACAAGTAGTACCTGCAGAGAATACAGGTAAGGTTGAAGAGTACAAGTAGTACCTGCAGAGAATACAGGTAAGGTTGAAGAGTACCAGTAGTACCTGTATAGAATACAGGTAAGGTTAAAGAGTACAAGTAGTACCTGTATAGAATACAGGTAAGGGTAAAGAGTACAAGTGGTACCTGTAGAGAATACAGGTAAGGTTAAAGAGTACAAGTAGTACCTGTAGAGAATACAGGTAAGGTTAAAGAGTACAAGTAGTACCTGTATAGAATACAGGTAAGGGTAAAGAGTACAAGTGGTACCTGTAGAGAATACAGGTAAGGTTAAAGAGTACAAGTAGTACCTGTAGAGAATACAGGTAAGGTTAAAGAGTACAAGTAGTACCTGCAGAGAATACAGGTAAGGTTAAAGAGTGCAAGTAGTACCTGCAGAGAATACAGGTAAGGTTGAAGAGTACAAGTAGTACCTGTATAGAATACAGGTAAGGTTAAAGAGTACAAGTAGTACCTGTAGAGAATACAGGTATGGTTAAAAAGTACACGTAGTGCCTGCAGAGAATTTAGGTAATTTTCAAGAGTATATAAGTAGTACCTGTAGAGAATACGGGTAAGGGTAAAGAGTACAAGTAGTACCTGTAGAGCATACAGGTAAGGTTGAAGAGTACAAGTAGTACCTGTAGAGAATACAAGTAAAGTTAAAGAGTACAAGTAGTACCTGTAGAGAATACAGGTAAGGTTAAAGGGTACAAGTGGTACCTGTAGAGAATACAGGTAAGGTTGAAGAGTACAAGTGTTAAAACGAAATATTTAGCGGATTTCTTGTACTGTGGCTTGGTCCGTCGTGGGTCTGGATCAGGCACATTCACGCTAACAAAGATATTAGAATTCAATATTATAAAGTATCTTACAATAGATAGCAAAGTATTTTTAACATGTTTCAGAGTACCCAGTTCTAATTCTTGCAAAATTGAACTTATACTAAGCATTTTTAGCTATCTCACCTTGAAAATAATGAAAAATGGAATTATTTTTGATGATTAAGTTTTTGATTAAATTTTCAAAATATCCCTGCAAGATGTTTTCACAAGACTAAGAAAGGAGAAGAGGATGGAACAGCTGAGCAGAAGTAACCTTTCTAAAATTAAATTTGATAATTATTTCAAATGCAAGTTGGCATTTGCAAAAAAAAATATACCAAAAGTAATAAAATATTTAGCAAGAATTTTAACCTTCAAACATTTATGACACTAGCCTTGACTGAATTAATATTTGAACCAATTACACTTAAAAGACTAATCCTTTCGGGTTTATCTCTAGAACAAAAATCTTCAGATATTCTTTAAGATACAGTGAGAACCAGAAAATTGTGAAATAGGGAGAAGACATTAAAGAAGTATTTAAAGAGCATTTGACGTTGTTTCAGTGCACATGCAGTGAATACATAGACCGTCATAAGTTTTTTGATAATTCTGAAGAAATTTCTTTGTATTTTTAATTCAAGGTAAATCAATAGCCCTGAAATATGAATGCAATTAATATATTAATATTAAACTCATTTTTCCGCGGCATTTGATCTCAAATATGCAATACGACATTATAAAAAACTATTGCTATTTATTTATATATCTGGGATTCACTGTAGTTTTTCTTCTAGCTTAAATAACTATATTACTAGGTGAATTGGTCGGTTTATTCTCCACAGTTGTTGTTTTAAATGTACATTGGACTATTTAAAATCATAACTTTAGTCTCAAAGTCGTCTTCCTTTTTAAGAGTTCTTACCAATGTCGTCTTCCTTAACATTATCCCAATCTATATTTGTTCCCTTCTTGTGTCCCACCATTAAAATATAGGTCTGCAGACAGAAGGAAGGACCAGACTCAAGAAATCCCTGAGGAAAAAACATCAATGGAGATTAGAGGCTTGGCCCTAGGGATCATTATAGGGACTGTAATTGTAATTTCAAGTGACCCTCAATACAATTCACATTGTTTGTTCAAATACTTGATATGAAAAATCATGTGGAAGAAGAAACCACGATAAAAAGAATCAGTTTTAAAATTATAAAAATTGGAATCTAATTGACAAAGCTTTAGAGGGTAAGGTTGTCATCTTTGCATGGAAGGTCACTTGTAATTAAGCTTCATGTCCCTTTAATGATATTTTCAAACAAATTATTCAAATGCTTATATATGGGGCTTGAAATTTAGTAAAAAACTTTCAAAAATTTTGCTTAATGATCTGGATCCTGTACCTGACACTGCCTGATGTAAAATTTTTACTGTATTTTTTTGACTGATTTATTTGAATTTTTCTTTTAATTATGTTTGAATTGTGTCGGATTGGAAGAATTGTCAGATAAATTAGAGATCAGCCAAAAGAAGTGTATAAAAAGAGTATTTGACCCTAAGGTCGGAATTAACAAATAGAGTGTTGTTAAACAAGGTTGAAATAGAAGAACTACTTCTTTCCTGGGAAATTCGGAAATTGTTGAACTAACTAAAACTAGTTTAATTTCTTAGCACAAATTCCGACCTCATGTATAAATAATAAAATGGCTACCTCTAAAGAGTAAAGATAAATAAATAAAATGGCTAACTCTAAAGATAAATAATAAAATGTTTACCTCTAAAATCTAAAGATAAATAATAATATGGCTACCTCTAAAAATAAATAATAAAATGGCTACCTCTAAAATCTGAAGATAAATAATAATATGGCTACCTCTAAAGATAAATATTAAATAGCTACCTCTAAAGATAAATAATAAAATGGCTACTTCTAATGATAAATAATTAAAATGTCTAACTCTAAAGATAAATAATAAAATGGCTACCTCTAAACTCTAAAGATAAATAATAATATGGCTACCTCTAAAGATAAATGATAAAATGGCTACCTCTAAACTCTGAAGATAAATAATAATATGGCTACCTCTAAAGATAAATATTTAATGGCTACCTATAAAGATAAATAATAAAATGGCTACCTCTAAAGATAAATAATTAAATGGCTACCTCTAAAGATAAATAATAAAATGTTTACCTCTAAGTCTAAAGATAAATATTAAATGGCTATCTCTAAAGATAAATATTTAATGGCTACCTATAAAGATAAATAATAAAATGGCTACCTATAAAGATAAATAATAAAATGGCTACCTCTAAAGATAAAAAATAAAATGGCTACTTCTAAAGATAAATATTAAAATGGCTACCTCTAAAGATAAATATCAAATGGCTACCTCTAAAGATAAATAATAAAATGGCTACCTCTAAAGATTTAAACTGCTTAAGATCATGACCCATGAAGTGTCTGGCAACATGATCCCGTCTTCTGATCAGTAATCCAACAAACAGGACTCCACTGTAAAGAAATAATGAAATAACAATGTGACCCAAAAAACATTACCTGAATAATGAACATGTAATCTAAAAATCCACATAAACTGTAAATTAACTGTAGATACATTACACTAACATTACAAAAACAGACGGTACCCAAACTGTACAACTTGGTAACTGTACATAATCTGTACATAATCTGTACAACTTAAATTAACTGTACATACATTACACAAACATTACAAAAACAGACGGTACCCAAACTGTACAGCTTGGTAACTGCAGTACATAATCTGTACATAATCTGTACAGTAATTAGATGAAAAATAAAACTTACAGAAGAATTTGTATGATCGGATACAAGAATGGGAAGAGGAAGAGCAGACCAATATATTTTACAATTCTATCCAGGGATATCTTTTTCCTTAACAGATCAAATAAATAAGTAATAGGTAACTTCTGTGTCTTTTGTATTGTTTGAAATGCCATTTTGAACAATGAGGCGCGCATTTCTTAGAATTAAATCCAGGTACTTTTTTCTTCCATTTCATTTTTATCAGTTGCATTTGTTTTGCTGAAAAATCCTCTTTAATTAACTCAAATTTGAAAGAAAAAAATAATTGAAAATGTGATGTTTTAAATATCCATAAAATAAGAATGATTATTATTTTCAACAGAAAATACAGCAAAAACCAGAAACTGCTGAATAGGAAGACGACATTAAAGCAATACTTAGGTCTAAATGATGTTAAAACAAAGCAAATAGTTTTACTTATAAGCAATGAAATCACTTATTATGTGAAATGGGCCTGTTTATACTACAAAATTTCTGTTTCTCATATTCACAGTTATAACTGTAGTCTTAAAGTCGTCTTCCTATTCCAGAGTTTTCTGGTTATCACTGTAACATTATGAATAACATTAAAAACAGTTCTATTTGAATGTGAATAATGTTTTTACCTAACTGGAGGATCACCTTCACGCTTGTAAAATAATCCCCAGATAGTAAATCCACAAGATAACACAAAACCTTGTATTTCACCATTTTAGGGTCAATGTCAAGGTCAAGAGAAAGTCAAGGTCAAGAGAAAGTCGAGGTCAAGAGAAAGCCGAGGTCAAGAAAAAGCCGAGGTCAAGAAAAAGTCTAGGTCAAGAGTAAGTCAAGGTCAAGAGAAAGTCAAGACCACAGTCATAGTCGTGGTCACCGTCAAGATCAAGATCAAGATCAAGATCAAGATCAAGATCAATGTCAAGGTCAAGATCCAGATCAAGGTTAAGGTCAAGGTCAAGGTCAAGATCAAGATCAAGGTCAAGATCAAGATCAAGGTCAAAGTCAAGGTCATGGTCATAGTCATGGTCATGGTCAACTGTATAGCGAGAAACAAGTTCATGATCTCATTATTGGTCAATTAATCAGGGTAAAGGTAAATGCTAAAATTATATCGTATATATGATCTCAGTCAAGGTAATGCTCAAAGTCAAAACAAAGATTATTTAGAAGGTTAAGAACAATGTCAAGTTGTCTATCAAGGTCAAAAGTGATGATCAAGGGGACGATCAAGATGGCGATTAAGGTGACAAGTAACGTTCAAGGGGAAGATCAAGGTAAAAATTCAGGTGACGACTAAGGTAAAGATCAAGATAAAGATCAAGGAAAAGATCGAGGTAAAGATCAAGGTAAAGATCAGGGTAAAAATCAAGTTAAAGATCAAGGTTAAGATCAGGGTAAAGTTTAAGGTACAGACCAAGGTAAAGATCAGGGTAAAGATCAAGGTAAAGATCAGAGTAAAGATCAACGTAAAGATCAAGGTAAATATCAATGCCAAGATCAGGGTAAAGATCGAGGTAAAAATTAGGGTAAAGATCAAAGTAAAGATTAAGGTAAAGATTAGGGTAGAGATCAAGGTAAATATCAAGGTAAATATCAAGGTAAATATCAAGGTAAAGATCAAGTTAAAGATCAGGTTAAATATCAGGGTAAAGATAAAGGTAAAGCTCAAGGTAAAGATCAAGGTAAAGATCAGGGTGAAGATCAAGGTTAAGATCAGGGTAAAGATCAAGGTAAAGATTAGGGTAAAGATCAAGGTAAAGATCAAGGTAAAGATCAAGAATGAATGTCAAAGAATGTACATACCTGGAAGATAAACAAAGAAAAGAGTAAGAGCAGCATATTTATAATCCCGTCTCTCGAAATGTTCAGCAGCTGCAGCTAAAAATAACAAAATGTTCAGCGGTTGCAGTTAAAAATAAAAAAATGTTCAGCAGCTGTAGCTAAAAATAACAAAATGTTCAGCAGCTGCACCTTAAAATAACAAAATGTTCAGCAGCTGCAGCTAAAAATACAAAATGTTCAGATGCTGCAGTTAAAAATAACAAATGTTCAGCAGCTGCAGCCAAAAATAACAAAATGTTCAGCAGCTGCAGCTAAAAATAACAAAGTGTTCAGAGGGCTGCAGTTAAAAATAACAAAATGATCAGCAGCTGAAGCTAAAAATAACAAAATGTTCACCAACTGCAGCTAAAAAATAACAAAATGTGCACCAACTGCAGCTAAAAAAAAACAAAATGTTCACCAACTGCAGCTAAAAAATAACAAAATGTGCACCAACTGCAGCTAAAAAAAAACAAAATGTTCACCAACTGCAGCTAAAAAATATCAAAATAAAGTTCCCTCCCTCCCTCCCTCCCTCCCTCCCTTAGCTATATTAACATATGATTCTGAAAGGGACTGTAAGAGTAATTACAAGTAAAGAGTTACTTTTTCTATCTGATAAAAAGTGATTAATTCTGAGTATTTCCTGCTTTGTCTTTGCTGCGTAAAAAGATTAACCTTGTCATCTTTATCCAGATGAAGGTTTAACGGGTACTAATGTAAATCAGGCACACTCCTTTTTAACTGAAGTTTCACTTGAAAATACGTAAACTGTCCCTTTAATCTGTTTAAATAATTACCTATATCAGTTCCAATATCTATTGTTTTAAAGATAATATTAGAGAATGTTTTCCTGAAAATATGCCACCATAGACATTTATCAAACCCTTCCTCTATCTCAGGTTTCTCCCTAAATTAAGCGTTTTTATACAGGGTGTCCTAATAAACATGGGAATTAAATGACGACTTCTATATCGTCTTGGTTTCAAGCGGGATTATTTCGTAAATAAAATTTTGTAGTATCACAGTTAAAACATTTAACATCAAAAACTAGAAGTCTCGGAATTTCCAAATTGTGGTTCAACTTTTTTCACATTCAAAATTAACGGAGATATTAGGAAATTTGGCCACATTTTGGAAAGCGTCTTAGACGCTCCATCTTTTTTTAATGCACTTTATGTCATTTATCAATCATCGAAAATCAAAGACGATATTCAAGTCGTCTCTCAATTTCCATGTTTATTAGGACACCCTGTACCATTAACGATTCACAACAGAACCCTTGAATCCAGGCCCGTAGCCAGGATTTGTCCAGGGGGGGTGCAATATGACGCGCCGGAGGCGAAAATTTTTTTTGAGGGGTTCTTTGTTTGTTTGGTTTTACAGTGGTATATGGTTGTTTTTATTACATTGTAAATGCACACTATAAAGGCTAACCTTTTTAACAAGTGTATTTGAGCTTTTAAGGGAGTACTGCTTAACTAAAAGAGGCAAGTAATCATTTATTACTTTGACTTTACAATATGAAAATGATATGATCTCATTTCTTATTCATTTTAAAAAAAGCCTTTCAAGGGTCAAGGGGTGCTATGGAAACGCCTCACCACGGAAATGCCTCAAAAAAAACAGACTCATAAAACATATAGCACACCGGTCAAGGGCTAAAAGTCTGAAAGTGTACAGGAGATTACCATTTCATTTCCATGGGACTCTCATGCATATAATTAATAAATCATACTGTTTTAATTAGACATGACTTAGGGGATGAGTTGAGAGAGTACACAAAAACGCCGTCACGCTTTTAATGAGTAACGCACAAATAGATTATAATTTGGTTTGTAAATCAATTCTTACTCGGGCTATATAATTTATAACTAGATTTTAGAAACTTATGAAAACAATTTCTTTTATATGGGACAGGGGGGGGGGTGCAAATTTGTCATTGCAACCCCCTTTCAGAAAAGAAGGGGGGGCCCCTGGCGCCCTGCACCCCCCCCCCCCTGGCTACGGGCCTGCTTGAATCCTTTGCAAAAATTATATGATTAATAAAATTCATGTCCAGTGTACAGTGTACACAACAAGGTAACATTTTAAAATTTCAGAATAAAAACTTGTATTCATTCTCCTCTTCTGGCGATGAGTACAAAGGAATTACGCCTTTGCCACAAACTCTGATTTTCTAATCCCTATAACATTGCAACCAAATTTCGTTGACCTTTGATATTCCAACCTACCGATTATATTAGATCAAATAATCCAAGTTATAATAATATCAATGATTTACACAATCAGTTTGCAAAGATATTTCATTTTTTTTATTAGAAAATTTGAGTTTGTGGCAAATATTCAATTCCTTTACAGTAAAAAAGTATTCTAATCGCTTTATCAAGAAAACACAATTGGGAGATGTGGGAAGGGGGGGGATAAAGTATCAAAAAGGTGAAAAATATAGAATAAAGTTAATTATCCTGAAAATAAATCCGCTAAACCCCCCCCCCCCTCCCCCTTTCTAAATGTGATAAAACATGAGATACGTTATCACCATTCAAAATCTAGAAGAGTATTTAAAATTTGCATTTAATCATAACCCCTCAGTTCACACTGTACTGTCCTGTAAAATGGTGGCAAAACTAATCCTTGCTCTTCTCTCATTCTATGCCCTTATGGGTTCAGCCCTGGGTAAACCACATCATCAAGAAAACTGGTTTGGAGAAAACAAACATCAAGTTCTCGACTCGGAGGATATCTGGATTGATGATCAGGAAATAGAGGAACAAAATATAAATTTAGAACGGGAAGATCATGATTCTGAGAATCAAAGAATTACAAAAAGACAAGCTCATGATTATGAACATGAAGACCATGATGAAGATGAAGATCATGATCATGAACATGAAGAGCATCATAATGATGAAGAACATAAACATGATCATAAGCACCAAAGGATAACAAAACGACAAGCACATGATCATGAACATGAAGATCATGATCATCAACATGATCACCACGATCATGATCATCAACATGATCACCACAGCAAAATGACTCAAAGAACATTTCGCTGTTCTCCAAGATGCACAGAGCGGAGGGAAGCTTGCAGCAGAACTCAGAAAACTTATGAAACCCCGTGCGCCCTCGCTTGCGCAGGAGAGAGATTATCCCACTTTGGACCCTGCTCTGGCATTCGGAAAAACTGAAAATCCGGAAAATCAAAAATTCTCTTTTTCAAATTTGATGATATTTTTTACCTACAGCATTGACTTATGTTTTTATTATGACTGAAAAATTAATTTATGATTGTGAATTAGTAAAATTTTTGAAAATAAACGTTATTTAAAAACTAAGTGATTAGAAATTCATTTTCTGGGCGACAGTAGCACAAGTACAGTGAAACCCTTAATAACGAATACATCGGAAGAATTGATCAAATGTCGTCTTGCCAATTTTTCAATGATTTTTATACTATATTACGTAAATTTCAGTATTTGCAAAAATAAATAAATAGCCATATATGCGGGAACAGTTTTAAAGAGTTCCATATAATCATTTAATTAAAAAACTAAATATCTGCAACATTCCATTATCAGAAAGTGAAGATTACGACATTTGATGAATTCTTTCGATGTATTCGTTATTAAGGGTTTCACTGTATCATTTCCGATAAAATTTATCACCAAAGGACGGGATTTTTTCTTTGAAAAAAAATATAGCCAAAATATAAGATCGTTTCCTTTTTCTCTGAAGGGACATCTAGTTTTTTATATAAATAAAAAATAATCAAAATATGTATTAACTAATTTAATGGTGTAGGATAACTTTTTTAGAAAGGATAAAGATTCAAAAGTAAATCTTTTTAATATAAGAGAAAGGGAAACGGGGGGGATTCTTTAAAATATAAACCCCTCTAAGTTTACAAGGAGTGTATTTCTCATATTTTCTATTTACAAATCATACCCCCCCCCCTTTCTTTGAAAAAGTTGGGAATGTTTTTTATAGAATTTTCTTCGCTGAATTGCAGAGAATTTTTAGTGGAAAATAAATTATTTTTGGGAATAGTACCAAAAATAAATAAATAACATAACTTTTGATGCCCCCCCCCCCCCCCCCCCCCCCGATTTTTAAAAGGAAAAGAGGGAAGGAGGGGGGGGGGGGGGGGAAGGGTGATAATTCTTAAATTTGTATACCCCTTCCAGTTTACCTTATAATTTCAACCAGTTTGTCAAGTGTCTCAGGATCTACTAAATCTAACAAAATATTTTAATTATTCATAAATTTATTTAAATAAACATGGTGACCATCAAAAAATTTTTGCAGGCCAAAGATTTCGTTTTAAATAGTGAAAAATATTAAATTTGATGTTCAAGTTCAAATAAACTTTACTCTGGAGACCACTATATGGACAACAGGGAGGCTAACATATTTTGGCATTAAAAAAAAGATTTATCAATTTTTCCTATTTTTAGCCATTTATTATTTTTTACATTTTTAGCTTATACATTTGTCTGTTGTTACATCATATGTACATTGTACATAACTTATTAAAGAGGCTGTAAGTGTAATTTCAAATGACACCCCCCCCCCCCTCCATGCAAATTTGGCAATTCCCGATTCACAACAATACCAATAAAAGCTTTATCTGATCAAATATAAATTAGATATCAATGTCTATAAATTTGAAAATTGATTATTTCCATTCTGGTTTCTCTACAGTTTTCTGTTTTAGTAAAAACAATATAGCCATTAACAAAATGTAAAACTTTTGACCAGGAAAAAACAACAATATCTTCCACCATTACTGATCAGATAAAGGTATTAAGGGCACAGTTGGGAATTTGACATTGCCATCTTTAAATGATTAGAATGACTTTATCAGGCCCGTAACTAGGAATTTCTACAGAGGGGCACAAAAGCTAAAAATAGCATAGATAGATAACTAAGGGGTGCACCGCATGCGAAACATTTTTTGACCTGAAAAACTCAATAGGGATAAAAATTAATGAATGTAGAATAAAAAGCTAGATTTTTGACTTATCACACATTATAGTTTATTAAGATACAGGGTGGCCAAAACTTTTTTGAACAAATCCGTACAAAAATCCGTACATTTTCAGAAGAAATCCGTACAATCTGTACAATTTTCAAAAAAAAATCCGTACAATCCGTACAATTTTTTTTAAAAATCCGTACAATCCGTACATTTTTTTAAACCAATCCGTACATTTTTTTAAAAATCCTTACATTTTTTTTTAAAAAATCTGTACAATCAGTACAATTTTCGAAAAAAATCCCATTTTTGAAAAAAACATTAAAATTCAATTTTTCATTCATTGTCTTTTGTGTTCAGTTCATGTAAGAGGGGTTAAACTTCTTCAGCAAGAATCAATCTGTAAAAAATTGGCTTCATGTATCAGACAGAATAGGATCTCGTTTTTTATGCATGATTTCCCACACATACAATGCTACTCACTCCTTTATCCTGTCTCGCATTGGTTTAAACCCCGCATCCATGTACCCAGCTACCTTGGATGATGAACTTGGTAATTGTAGAATGAACCGTGCAACCTGGTGCTGGATGCTGTCTAGCTTTCTAGTGACACTGTTAGATAACACCATGGATTCCACCGCATACAGTATAGCTGGTATAGCACATGTATGGGCTACAAGAAATCGTTCTAGTCCAGATCTTGTGACTCCCATGATAGTATTAGCGTAATTTTGCGCGACACATACCATACGCTCCTCTCTTGGCTTAACCAGGTTCCTGCCTTTGACCTGTAATTCCACTCCTAGATATTTACCAACCAGGTTTGATTCTAGGTCTGGCGTACCTGGTTCTATTTTCCAAGCCTGCCCCTGTGTTCCATTTGAGAGTATTATTGTTTTCTCTACAGAGAGTTTCATATATACCCCGTGGCAGATCCGTGAGACCTCTCTTAGCATACGTTCCATCCCTCTCACTTTCGTCCGTGAGATAAGAACAAGGTCATCTGCAAAGAACAATGCAGAGATCACTTGGCCGTTGAAGTTAATTCCTTCCTTCATGGCATGTAGTTTCCCTCCAAGCCCAGCCATGTACAGTGAAAACAGAAGAGGTGAAAGCCCACACCCCTGTTTAACGCCTTTCGTGAACCATAAAGGCACACTCAGACCTCCTTTTATTCTGACTCTAACACTATCATTGTAATACATGGACTGGATTAGAGACTTGACCTTTCCTCCAAAGCCAATGGTGTCCAACTTTGCATAAAGTAGGTCACGGTTCACTGAGTTGTAGGCTTTAGCAATGTCGCATAATGCTATAGACACTGAATGACCTTTCCTTTTTGCCTTTCTGACAGCTGCCAACAACATAAACACACAGTCTGTTGTTGAGCACCCTGACCTAAACCCATACTGTACTGTACCATAGTAACCATTCTTCTCACATATTTTGTCCATCCATCCGTGCATTATTTTTGTGATTACGCTAAGAAATACACAAGATACAGTTAGTGGTCGTTTATTGGACACCAACAGCGAGGGCGATTTCTTGTCAATCAGTGTCATCCTTCCGACAAGCAGGGAATCGGGTACCTTACCCTCATGGAAGGTTGCGTTGATAACATCAGTCAACATGCTCACGAAGCACGGCCCGGCATACTTAAGCATAGCTACCGTGACATTATCAACTCCAGGGGATCGTTGTAGTTTCATCTTGTCTATAACAGCTTTAACCTCAGCCTCAGTGGTTCTCCTGCAGACTTGCCCTTCATGGGTTGTGCTACCTACTGTATCTTTCATCCACTCTTACCACCCCATAAGCTGCTTGACATCCATCTCTTTGATGAGCTGTTCACCTCTGTGGGTAAATATTGCTGATCTTTGGCCAGAGAAGATTTTTGCTAGTTCTTCCAAAACAATCTCTTCTATTTGTGCTCTGTCTGTCGCCAGTCTCCCTTGTGTATCTTTGACAGCTGATGGTATTCCTTTCTTCTTCACTGTCCTTCTGACAAGCCTCCAGAACTGTTTGTTAGTCAAAGTTGACCTTGCATGCAACCTTTGTAATAGCAAACGCTGGCGGGCCTTCTCCTTGATCTGTAGCCTAAGGGTTACTGCCTCCTGCTTGAAGAATTGTAGAAGTTTCTCTTTTCCTTTCTCTGACTCACCACTCCCAAAACCTAGTACAGCTTTTTCATGCTCTAACTGTCTAACCTGTGCCTCTGCAACAATGCATTTTTTGCGTAGCCGTCTCACCGACTTGCACACTGATACGCGGGTCTTATGTGCCGGTTTTTGGTTGCATGAAATTTTTGCTGCTGTTACTAGAGTGTCCTGGAGGAACCGACATTTCTCTCCAGTATCCATTGGACTCCAATATGCCAAAAGCATCAAGGATTCAAAGGCTTCTCTATATGCCTCTCCTTTTGCTTGACTAGGGCCAACAATTGGATCTTCTTCCTGTGGCTCCTTAGTGGATGGCCCTGACTTTATTTGTAATTTATAGAAAATTGCTGAATGATCACTGCCCCCCAGTATTTCTCCAAAAGTGTCTATTGACATTTCCGTAACCAGTGGGACATCCTTGTCATCCTCAAGGACCAGGTCCAATGCAGACACAGAGTTGTGAGTTATTCGTGTAAATAAACCTTTACAACGTTTAGCATCGCTGTTGACGATGCGAAGGTCGTTACCTGAAATAAAATCCTGTATCAGTCTCCCATTTGAGTTAATGTCCCTGTTGTTCCCTGGAATACCTTGGCTGTCTGCCCCGATATGCCCATTGAAATCCCCCGCGAGAGAACATGTATACCCGTCTTCCCTGAGGGTAGAGATTTCAGCTTGTAGCATCGCACACAGCTCTGCATTCCAAACTTGGAAATTATCCCCTCCAACCTCAGCTGCAAGATACACAAAACATAGCGCTACATGTCTGTTGTTTTCATGGATTAGTATCCACTCTCTTTCATTATCCAGGTAGGGGTACATTGGTAGCGGTGGTTCATACCGTGAATGGTTAAGGCTGGGCTGAACTATGGTCAATATCTCGCCACCTTTCTTTTCTTTCCAAAGCCTCTCCTTGGAGTACCATGTGAACTTGTCTAGACATTACAGGTCGTCATTGGACCCCTGTCTCAGGTGAGTTTCACTCACTGCAAGAACATGTAAGTTATTGTCATTCATGACATCCACTATCATGTCTTGTTTGTTGTCCCGTATTAGGCCATTGCAATTCCAATATGCACATGTGATGGAGGATGACCTCGGCACCCCCTTGCCAAGCCCCTTAGCACGGTGCCTCTTACTGGGCTTACCCATCAGTGGGTTTTTAGAAGGAGTTTTAATCTGAAAATAGACCCAATAAACCTAATGACCCTAAAGAGATTAAAGATTTATTAATGCATATAAGATTCAAAGACCAACGTGACTATAGGACACAAGGTCTTCAACCTACCTACCCACCCACCTACCTACCTACATCAATCAGCTACATACTATCAATCCCTATCTACCTATCTACATATCTACATATCTACATATCTACCTATCTACCTATCTGCCTATCTGCCTATCCACCTATCCACCTATCCACCTATCCACCTATCCACCTATCCACCTATCCACCTATCCTATCTTCCTATCTTCCTATCTTCCTATCTTCCTATCTACCTATCTACCTATCTACCTATCTCTACCTCTCTACCTCTCTACCTCTCTACCTCTCTACCTCTCTACCTCTCTACCTCTCTACCTCTCTACAAACAACAAACAATCCATCAGTCAATCAACCAATCAGTCTATCAGCCGACCAATCAGTCAACCTATCAAACCATTAACCAATCAATCCACCAACCAATCTACCAATCTATCTATCTATTCCTAAAGAAAAACTATCTTAGTTAACCACAATTAACCAATCAATCAACCAACCAATCTACCATCTATGATTAAAAACCTAGTTTAGTAAAACACAATTTACCAATCAATCAACCAACCAATCTACCAATCTATCTATCTGTCTATGATTAAAAACCTAGTTTAGTAAAACCCAATTAACCAATCAATCAACCAACCAATCTACCAATCTATCTATCTATCTATCTGTATATGATTAAAAACCTAGTTTAGTAAAACTCAATTAACCATTAAATCAACCAACCAATCTTCCAAACTAACTACCCATCTATCTATCTACGATTAAAATAACAATCTTAGTAAAACACATAGATGGCATTTATTGGTCTCAGAGTAACCACGACACTTCTAAGTAAAATACATAATCTATCATAAAACTAATCCATATAATATAAAATATGAAACC